AGAGTACACGTGGAGGGAGGAGGCTGCTCCGGGTTTCAGTACAAGTTTTCTACTGACAACAACAGGAATGAAGATGACAGGTAAACCGCTTCAGGTTTTTGTTCTAAGCCGGCCTCCTTATCGTCCAATCAGCTCTACTCACTCCTGCATCCACTAGTGCATTTAGGTTCCTGTGGTTAGCGTGTAAAATACTTTTGTGTTATTTTTTTAGCTAGCACAAACCAAACCTAACTGTACCTAAAAATGTAAATATGAAAAGTAAAACTGCGCCTCCTGTGTCATGTTTATGTAACTCAGAGACTAGAGGAGATCATGGAGAAAGGTGAGTTCCTCAGAATACACGTGGAGGGAGGAGGCTGCTCCGGGTTTCAGTACAAGTTTTCTACTGACAACAACAGGAATGAAGATGACAGGTAACCCGCCACACACTTCAGGTTCTAAGCCGGCCTCCTTATCGTCCAATCAACTCTACTCACTCCTGCATCCACTAATGCATTTAGGTTCCTGTGGTTAGCTCATGGAGAAAGGTGAATTCCTCAGAATACACGTGGAGGGAGGAGGCTGCTCTGGGTTCCAGGACAAGTTTTCTATTGACAACAACAAGAATGAAGATGACAGGTAAACCGCCATACACAGCTTTTTGTTCTAAGCCGGCCTCCTTATTGTCCAATCAACTCTACTCACTTCTGCATCCACTAATGCATTTAGGTTCCTGTAGTTAGCGTNTGGCATGAATTCGTTGGGAACGAATTGATCCATTTTGTACAGAGATGGTGCAAAAACAAACAAAAAAATGCATTTGCTTATAATTTACTGACACTAATTAAATGCAACAACAATACACATCAGTAATGTAAAATCAGAAATGAACATTTTAATTAGAGAGCTAAAGAAGCACAAAAAACTGTCTCTCTTCAATCCAAAACACGATTAAAGTAGCTTCAAACCAACAACTATCGTGTCTGGGACAAAAAAAAAAAAAATCCTATTTTATATCAAACAGTGTTTAAAAAAAAAAGCAGCTGCTGATGAAGAAGGAGGAAAACATCGCTGCTGTTGTTAGTGGTTGGCCGGTTGAAACTAATTAGGGCCTATTTAGTGTGAATCCGAGGCTATTAATGAAGAAATCAATGTTATTAGGATATGCTAATGACGCATCAGCCTGTTGGGATCCTCTCATTTATTAACACTGATCCGTCAATTACAGACGAGTCACTGGCCTCCTCTCACTCCATCATGCCTCCTGTTGCAATCCATACAGCCGGTTTTTGTTTGTTTGTTTGTTTGTTTGTTGACAGTGGAGCAATATTTCTCCTCTGGGTTTTTAAAAAAATAATCCATCTCCTATGAAAACGGCCGCGTGCTGCTTGACATGCAGGAGGGCTGCTGCCTAATAAGGCTGTAGATTAAGGCAAGATTTAGTTCAGTCATTCGTGTAGATTGGGTTTCCCATCAAAGAAGTGCAGGATCTGACGGCTGCAGATTAAAAAGCAAACAGCTGTTGGACATTTTTTTTTTTTTTGCTGTTGTTGTTTATTCCCCTCCATCCTCAGCTACTCCTTTTTTTTTTTTTTTAACACAATCAGGCCAAAATTAGGAACGAGGTGTCCTCAAAAGTGGGGAAATCCAGAAAGCTTCAATCTGCAAATCATCATCTGCTGCTTTGAAATGAACTTTCTATGAGCAAGCAGAGGTCACGCGTGGATGAGCTGCGCGGGAAATAGAAGTGATCTGCGTTAGGTTCTGCACATGCGTCCCATCAGGAGGCTTTGGCCCTCCAGAGGGGCGACGCCTCAGCCCCCGGAACGAGCCTCTTACGCAAGAATCAAGCTGGAATCTGCGCAGAGCAACTTGATGACAGCACACATGTAGAGCCGAGTCAGGGGGAAAAGAAACCGGAGCAGAACCTTTCCTAAAGCGCAGGGCGGGATGTGATGCGATGCCCCCTCCTCTTCCTCCTCCTCCTCCTCCAGTAAAGAGTTTGCAAGCCCCGCAGCTTTCTCATGGCTCCTCCACAATGGCATGTTTGGAAGCTGCCCGTCGGCATTGCTTAATTAGGCGAGGAGTTGATTAATTTGCACTAATTGACAGCTAATTTAAGGACTCGGGGCACATCGGATTGACGTTTGTCGGGGCGCGGAGGCCATGTGAGGTCAGGGCAGCGCGCTGCGGATAGACGGATGGATGGATGGACTGTTCTTCCTCCTCCTCCTCCTCCTCTCTCTCTCTCTCTCTCTCTCCGTATGGATGACCAGCTCGACCCGTCTCCTGAAGGGCCTGCGGGGAGGCTGAGGGTGACAGACAGCCAGCCACCAGCCGTCTGCACCAGATTGAGGATGTCAGCTCTCTTAGCGCGTCAATGCTCAGCAGGCTGATCAATGTGAGCCAGCCAGCAGCAACAAGTGTTCAGCCGCTGCAGCAGGGACACTGTTTTTAGCATTTAATGGCAAAAAAGAAGAAGAAAAAAATCAAACCTGTAGGATAAAACAGAATTTAAATACAGTACAGGAGTCCTTAAAATTACAACAGGGGCCAAACTTTCTCTAGAAATTAACTAATTTAAGCAAATAGTGCACAAATTTGATGCACTTTTTCTATGCTTGGGTATTTAAATATCATTATTTTTATCTATATTTTCTTGTATTGATTGTATTTATTGTGCTGCATTTATCTCACAGGTGTAGCTCCTCTAGTAAGGTTTTAACAGATGATAAACAACCCAGTTCTGAGTATCTCTCCCTTGACCAGCAACAAAATGCAATCTGGATGTGCATCGAATCAGAATCATTGATCAAGTATGTGAACACACAGAAAAACACACATGCATTTAGAGACAGATGAAAGAAAAGGTAAATAAAGTGGTTTTGCAGCTACAGATATGTGTAAAAATGTGCCTTTACTACTGTGTGTGTGTGTGTGTGTGTGTGTTCAGCAAAATGACAATAAACCTGATTTGATTGATTTGAAAAGAGAGCATGTTTAAAAGTGAACTAAAGGTTTAGTGCAGATTCTGATGGTGAGAAAAAATACTGTTATTAATAATAAATACATGCTAAACAATGACAACATGTAATGCTGGAGTGTTTTCTTGCAGAATGAATGTTTAAAGTACATTTTGCTGCTCATGTAGGACCTGAAGTGTCCGAATACCTGTAAATACTAGTTTTTAAAGAGCTGTTGTGTTTCCAGCTTTGATGATGTTTATAATGCATTTAGAAATACTGACATCTATAATCCATCAAGTCTTAGTGGAATAAACCAGCCTTCTCCTGTTAACTTAATGTAAATACACGTTCTGTGAGTTGAATTTAATGTGAAGTATGTGCTTGACTTAATATCAACTCATTAAGTTTTTAAGAGTTAAAAATCTAGAGCAGACTTCCCAGCATGCATTGCTTGGGAGATAAAACTCCTCCAGAGACTCTTATTTTGTAGCTTGAAGAAAAGGTTCACAATGAAAAGTGGCTGGATGTCATATTATTGTTTCTAATGAGAAAAGGACACATCAGGGGGGATGTTGGTAGTTTTGGCTCAAAGTATCTGGAAGATGCTTCACATGTTGTTTTAGGTGTAACATGGAATCAGTGCTTGTGACTGGTTGTTGTTCATGACAAATAAAATATCTTAAATTGAGAAAATGTGAAAGTAAGTCTGTCTGTAATGATTGTGAGACAGAACACAGTTAATTCATTATCTTAAGTTGACTGAACTTGTTCCATCAGGTAGTTGTTTACATTTTAAAACTCAGATTTATCCAACCAAACATGACTTACTTCATCATTTAATGAGAAGGTTAACTTGTTTGTGTGTTGAGCAAAGTTTGAATGATTTACAGTAAAGTTACACAAGTTAAAAAAAAGAAAAACGTCACATCACAAACCAAAGGAAGTGAAGCAATCTGGCACAAAAAACTAAAAGTTCTCTTATTGGCTAACTCATGATTTCACCTCATGAATGACACCTAGCATTTAATCTTAATGTCAGATCAGCTTTAGATTTATTGGACAAACTATCTTCAGTGTCCAGTTACATCCACTATATTTATTTTTAGTTATCGTTACTTTCATAAACTCTCACTTTCTTCCTGTCGCCATGTTCCCTCCACCAGTCTGTGGTGCGTTCAGGGCTCCCCGGATTCCTCTCTCCTCGTCCCAGCACAGAAGCCACTCTTTGCAGAACTGTGTAAATAATGTGTATTTTCTTTTTTTCTTTCGTAGGGGTGAGCCAGGGTCCGTGTGAGAGGCAGGGGGTGAAGCCACTGAGGCAATGGCAGGCCTCTGTCCGTGTGAATCGGAAAGACGATTAGGGGCTTATTAGCGGCCTGGGGAGAAGTGTAACCTGTTGGGAGTGAGCGGCCAGAGCCCCAGCGACATCTCCAGCTGAGAACAGTCCGAGGCATTGTCCCACCTAATTACGGCCGATGGACTTCTTTTTGTTTCCCATTCGGCATGCCTGTCTGATTCTCTTTTTGCCCGGCCGCTTGCTCCGACGACGCTGAAGTGTGCTAATTAGAAAAGAAATGGTCCTAGTAATTACGTCAGCTCTTATTAGCGGCGATGACAATGAGCAATATTATTTTTACGCAATGTTTTGTGTCGGGGACCCTGCTTCCAATGCTCATTAGGAGGAAATCGCGCCCTGATAGCCGGGAGAGCTGCTTCCACGTCCACGGCAGAGAGCTGCTGCTGCTGCTGCTGCTGGGTGGAAGTTAATTAAAAGTTGAGCATCAGCAAAGTTAGCTGCAAAAACTTTCAAGTGAAATGACAGGCAATCATCTTTTCATTTTAAAAGTTTATTAAACAATCTCACAAATTGCAAAAAAAAAAAAAAAAAAAAAGTAAATCATGTTTAAAATAGAAGTCAGAATAAATAGGGAACATTTCATCAAGTGAAGAGGAGTTCAGTGGAAAGTAATAAAAGCAAAGGCGTCTGTCTGGAGGAGATGGGCTCACCGAGGGGTTGGAAGAGAAGACCTCAGATGTGTGAGAGAGCTTTTTTTCTTTTTTTTTTTGCTCCGATTTAAGGTTTGAAAAGTCTTTGAACTGTGAATGTGTTCATCGCGTACCGGCAGAGATAAGAATCACCTTGAAATCCTCAACATTTCCGGTCGCTTTGCATGAAGAATCGTCACTTCTTGGGCCTCTCCAAGATGTTCAGGAACTTCCCTCTGGTCATCTCTCTGGCTGGAAGACAAGAAGACACAAGAGTGGACATATTAGATCAACCACAGAATATGATGCTTGATTGTAATGATTTACCAGCAGCCAACTGTCAGTCTTACAGCCTGCAGCTCCTACAACTCCACAACAGTTGGTTATTAATGCAAAGCATGTATTTAATAACTGCAGCGTCACACTGGGAGGCAATTTATACAAACATCTGTTCATTGAGGACATGGAAAACAACATAAAATGGAGACGGAGCAACCAAAGAGTCTTGCTGATCGCATGACTGCCGTCTCAGTGTCACATCAGTTATGGTGTAAAAATGCATAAAATAAGTGACGGATGACGAGCGAAACAGGATTAAAGGCTAAAACTGAACACCAGATACGGTTGCAGCGAAGGTTTCCAAACAGTCTGGGATCCTCTTAACGGGTCACGAGATAAATCAGAGGGGTCACGGCAGGTCAAACGGGACGGGAAATAATGCTGCAAATTCTAAATCTCAACCGTTCAAACTAAAATAAAACCTAAAATGAAACAATCCGAGGTGTGGAAATGCCTCATAGGTCGACAGCATGTGGAGGAGTCACGAGTTTGGTTTGCTTTAAAACCACATCAGGCTAACACTCAGGAAACAGCTGTCCTCAGACTTGTTCTCTCTTGGTCTCGTCACTGATTAATAAACTAGTAGCTGAGCTGGTGTTGCTCATGTTGCACCTTCAATTTGCACCCTTTTGATGATCTGTATAAATGTAAATATCAATATATCTGCACCCTCAATATAAATAATAAATAAATAATACCACAGTTTTACAGTTCTTATTTTTTAAATTTAACTTTGTGTCAGCTATTTTTATTTACTTTTGTTTTTTTTTTTTTTAGCTATTTTTATATTTTTATTGTGTACATTGCACCTTAAGTGTATATTTACTGTGGCACCAACCCACCAGAACAAATTCCTCGTATTGTACGTTTTATTATTTAATTGTTAAAGGACCAGCGTGACATTTCTGTTTCTGTTTCCAAACACGAGGCGGTCAGAACATCAGAAACCACCTCAACGACGTCTTTGGCATCCGAAAAGACGACTTCATGCAGATCCGTCGTATCCGACTTTTGCTTTCAGGTCGCTGAGGCTGCAACAGTACGCTTTGTTAATTACAATTAAGTACACCTGGCAATAAATCTGTTTCTGATTCTGATGCTTGAGATGTGAGATGGTTACACCTACAGGAGATTTGACATGACGATAAAACACAGGAACTTTATTTGAAATGTGTAGAATTAACACTGACTTTATCACTTCCACACATGAATAGAAGAGCACAGATACTGTTGGATGTGATGGTGTTAGTTGAGAAGCACCAGTTCACTCATTTCATCACCTGACACCTGTAACACAAACACAACACGACTTGTTAACACGGACCAACAACAGCGAGCGGCTTCAGGGTTTGCACCACTTAGTCCTACGACACAATCATCCCCACTGAAGGGCCTTTATGAAAGCGGTCTCCATCGTTCCAGAGGCTTTTCTGTCAAACACAAACCCTTCAGCGACTCGTGGAGACTGCAGGGACCTTCCTGCAGCGTCATCGTAAACCCCGGAGAGGCACCGTGGAGGCACAGTAATTACTCTTTGTTAAAGATAAGAAGAGGATCAGCCTCTCAGCTCCACTCAGCTTTCTATGAGCTGCAAAGCCGGGATCGCCTCGCTGGCTTTAAAGTGGCGTTTAAGAAATCTTGTACATCACACGAGACTGCAGAGCGTCAAGCAGGCAGGCGGGCACGTATTCCAAACAGGCATCAGGCAGAAAGTCATCCGCCTTCATAACAGGAATGTGATTAGGATCTCAACTGGCTGCTGTTTGCCTGAGGCGCCCCGCCTTCCCTGCCCACGGCGGCTAATGAAAAACCCGGGGCAGTTAGTAATTTAGATGAGTTGCCCTGGGTGGAATGATAATGGTTCATCTGGGTGTGGGGGCCACATCACCTTGAGGTGTCCATCATTAGGTTTAAGATGATGCTAATTGGAATGGGACGGATTCATTTTGCACTTTGCTGTCTCTTCAAATCACCCTAAACAAAGTCATCAGCGGACCCCTGGACACGCCGAGGGTGCTTTAGATTGAAATGAAGCCGTCCGAATTAGGCGAGGGAAAGCAATTACACCGGGATGACCCCAAAACCGCCGCCGCGCTGGTGTCACTTAGGAACGGGAAAGGGTGGCAAGTTAATATTTTTGAATTTTAAGGTGTCGTGCTTCTCTCTCGTTATCACTTTCTTCGTCTCTTGATGAGCCCAAACTGTAAAACAGTTCAATGACGGCCGTGCCACTCCTCCTGAGGCTCCTCGCCCCGCTGAGTGTCTCATTAATTACGGCTCGGTTCAGCCGCCCCCTAGCCAGGTAGAAACTCAGATTACTGGTATAATAACGTTAAAGAGCCCATTAAAACAGGAACCAGTGCTCGGCCTGCTGTTTGGCTGAAACTTTACCAGGGACAAGGATTGAATGGTTTGACTGAAACATCCATTTAGCCATTTATGACACCGATTTTTTGACATCCTGCTTCGGTTCAACATTCACCACGTGATAAATTCATAAATCAGATGAAGCATGATCGTATGAGGAACCTTCAGACGGTGGCATTAATTTTTAAAACCCCTGACATGACAGTTTAATCCCTTGTATAATGTATAATGCAATTTACAGCTTTTACAATTTGCTAACTGAATTGTTTCAAATTGCTTTTCAATCGATTAATTGTTCAGCCCAATCAGGAAAATCATTGACGAATTGAAATGATGCAAATCAAAGATAAACACTAACTAAACTCAAGCATAGTAGAACCACTGGCTGTGTCTGCAGCAGCACCAGTGGCTCTTTGAGGCTGCACAATGGTAACTTAAGCTAAATGCTAACATTAGCATTCATACTTTCTGATGTCCAGCAGATGTTTACTCCTGTCTATACCAGTGCTACATGCTCACATCTGCATACTAGCACTAAATAGAAAGCTTAAGGTGATTGCAGTGTCAGTAGTTTTGCAGGTATTTATGTATCAACAATCAAAAACGCTAAAAAAAACTAGTAAGAAGATCAAATGAGGGTGTGAAACAGAAATGCAGAGGACCACCAAAACTCATACAAGTCATTCATGTGATTCTGGAGTTAATGTCGTAGAAAAAAGGTGAAGATAGTTGATTGATCTTAATTAAAAGGTTTGTTTTGCTGCAGTAGCTTGTTANGGTTCCTGTAGTTAGCGTGTGAAATACTTTTTAGTACTTCTCCGTACAAACCATAACTAATTACCAGCACATCTGAGGAACATAACTGTTGTCGGCAGCCTTGAGCCCACAAGTGTGAGAGTGTCACATCGTCAGCCATGTCAGTGGTCGCGGCCCTTCAGCACGTCCCAGAGGAACACTCAGCTTTCAATTACCTCCAATAACAGCACTTATCAGAGTCCTCAGCTTTCCCCAGAGACGTGGGGCTTGATGCACGCGCTCAGCGGCCCGCGACAGGGGCATTCATCACGGGGCGGGGTAACAGCTGGGGCCTGAGGAAGAGGCACGCGTCAATCCCCTCTGGGACTAACTGGGCCGGCGTCACGCAGCCATTTTTGCGGGTGCCGGTGGGAGGAAGGGGTGGATAGGACATAAAGGGTGGGTTGCATCCTCCCTTCATGTTAACACATATGTACAAATACCACACAATATGTGCTCATCCCACAAAGGAAAAAGCAGACACAAGTCCTGCTTAGGTGTATTCTAGGAACAGGGTCCAGGTCCCCTTTCTCACTGCAGCAGTGGTGGTCGAGTTTTCACGGCTTGATTGTGCTCTGCCCATTAACCAGCTCCCTCTTTAATGGTCCACATGTTGAAGGGGGAGGGGCAGTAAATCCTGTCCCCCTGCCCTCGCTCCGCCGTGCCTCTGCGGAGTATGTTTACGGGTACTGAAGAGTGCACAAACATGATGAAAAAGTAGCTGAGATTTACAAGGCCTCCCCTGACAGCCAGGAAAAGGAGAAAATTAAACCAGAGAGCATTAAACAGGCACCGATTACAGGGCTGCTCTGACACCAATAATAACCGTCATTGTGTCCCGTCATCCCGAGGAACACGACATGATTGCAAAGCCGGCGGTCCTGCACGTATGACAGCTAACATCTTTATACCAGCCAGATTACACGCTTCTGCCGGTTTGGGGAAGTCAAAGAGATTAAGACAATTTTTTCAGCTAAATTAATTTGTGACTTGTGGCCTGGGGGCAAACACAGCACATGCTTTCTTTAGCCTGTTAATAATAGATGGGTATTTGTGGCTAATCTTTGGCTTTTAAATTACTCAATTGGAGTCAAACCTGATTAAAACATTTCCACCTATGCATCTCTTACTACTGCTGCTTTTTAAACTGATCACTTGGCTCTTACCTACAGCCATGTTGGTTCAACTCACCTGAACTTGGAAGACAAACCCTTTGTGTATTTATATGCAAGACGCGGGTGCATCACGTTTCTACAATGCTTATGGGATTTTTTTTTTTTTTTACTGGGAATATTAATACCCCCTTTTTCTCTTAGAAAAATATGAGCACTTAGCCACATCTCTCTAATCCACACTCCACAAGGATTATGACAATGGAGGCAGTAGGATGGATTAAAAAGAAAAAAATAAAAGATTTTACATCCATCAAACGCTTGAGCATTTGTTGTATGGGCTCCTGTGGACATGCCCTTGTTTCTTACCTTTTCCATTTAACAGGATGAAAAAAAAAGATGACCTAAATCCAGCATTTTAACACCTCAAGGTCAACATATTTCTGCAGGTTGACTGGAGAGTTGATTCCAGATTGGAGGAAAAAAAAAAAAAACACAATCTCAACATTATGTTTTCCAGCTTTGGACAAAAAAACACATGTGAAATCTGTTTCGAATTTGAATGTAAAAAAAAAAAAACACTTGAGAGCTGTGAAATCTGCAACAGCTGGACACAGAAGCAAAAGCCCAGAAAGACTATGAGCACCACCTAGTGGTGACTCAGCGTACTGGTTCGTCAGATTGTAATGAACTGATCGGCAACAAACAGGAACATTTTAAGGCATCTCTTAGAGGTTGGATCAGCACCTGTAACATTGCAGTGGTTGTGTCATTCATGTACTTACACTCCTCTAAACCCAGCTGGTACGCGAGATTCTGAAGCCCTTTGACCTTCTCCATCAGGTTGGCTGTGGTCAGACTACCCAGCTCTACAGAGGGATGACAGGAAAGCTCTTAGCTGCGTGTAACTAATAATTCCAGGGAAAAGCGTTATCCCACTTGACAGGATTACATGTAAAGGTTGTTTCTGTCAACACTCTTTCCAATCTTCCTGCTTAACGCCAGGTACAGAGAACATTTATCATAATAACTGCTGTTTGGACCCACCTTTCAACATTTCAATGTCCTCACTCTCCAGTTCCGCCATCCATTTAGGTGGCGAGTTAGTGATGGGCTATTGATGAAGATAGAACAAAGGTCTCACAACTTGTGCAGAATTTACATTTATCATGTCATTACAGTGGGTCAAGCTTATTTAATCATTTAGTTTATAAATCAAACGGAGCCACGCTGGATCTTTAACTCACATTTTTACAAGATGCTGCAAATTCTGCAACTCCGGGCACTGTGTGAGAGAGTTCAGGATCATTTAGATTAAAATAAGATGATGCATTAATCATGGTAACCAGTTACAGAAGAGCAGGAAAGACATAAACTTACACTGCTCTGGCCACAAGTCTGGCGACGCTCTGTCCAGCTTCTCAAAACTCAGCAAAGACGACTCAAAATCATCACCTAAGACAGAAAACATGCTGCAATGAGACAGAATCACAGATGAACACTCGTCTGCGGTTTGACCCACAGTGACTCAACAGACGGTGCAAATATTTTTGGTTTTATCTTTACATCTGATCAAGAAAAATAGAGGAAATAAGATGAAAACGTCAAAATGCCACGACGACAGTTAAACCAGTACACCTGGCTTTTTACAAAACGTCACCTATAGGTCAAACATTGTCTTTAACCTCTGACCTAAGCTACATTATTGAACAATACATCCCGTAGTGATTACAACTGAGTAATTTTGGGGAAATATGTCACAGATCTTCCAATATAACTTGCATTGAATGCACTTTTTTTTTTTAAGTAAATAACACAATAATTATGTGATAGACTGAACGTGATAAAGGATCGACACATAAAATATCATCAAAAGCATGTCTGTCACACAAGGAGGACGGCATAAACTGACATGACAGTTTAAACTCAGTGTCGCTGCATAATGTATATCCCAAAATACAGCCTTTGTAATTTCTTAATTGCACTGTTTCAAGTTGCAATTTTAATTAATACTCAACTCAACTTTATTTATAAAGCACTTTACCACAACAAAAGTCGAAACAAAGTTCTTCTGAACACAAAACATAAAAACGATTTAAAACATCTAAAATGCAAAATACAATAAAATTATAATAAAATCATTAAAGGACAATAAGAACAGTAAAAATAATAAAACAGGAGTCTCTTGCCAGGTTGAAGGTCAGGACATAAAAATTAGTTTTCAGACAGGTTTTAAAAATGGACAGTGATAGTGCTTCTCTAACGAGCAGCGGCAAAGAATTTCAGAGCCTTGGAGCTGCGACTGCAAACGTTCTGTTCCCTCTGAACTTCCACCGAGACCTCGGAACCTCCAGAAGCAGCTGATCAGCTGATCTGAGGCACCGGGCTGGCGAATAGAGAGAAATCAGCTCAGAGAGGTAATGTGGGGCGAGACCACGTCAGGATTTAAAAACAAATAAAAGAATCTTAACGTGAACTCTAAAATGTAGAGGCAGCCAGAGAAGTGAAGCTGAAATCGGTGTAATATGGTCTCTCTTATGTGCTCCAACCAGGAGACGAGCAGCTGTGTTTTGGACTAGTTGGAGACGTGAGAGAGACGACTGGCTGACTCCAGAAAGTACAATCTATTAACTACTCAACCGTAGTCATAGTCCAACAAGGCAATTGCAAAACAAACTGAATGTTGAGGCAGCAGCCCTTTAAGAAAACAACAGCAGGTATTGTTAAATGTAAAAAATTATATAGTACATGAAAATATCACAAACGTTTGGTTTATAGCCCCTCCATTCTGTTTTTAGTACTCTATACTTGTGTTGATGGCATCATCACAGAAGACAAAATACATCTATTGATCTATATGTTCTATTTCCTCATTAACAAATTGGAAACCTTTGTATGTTTATTACATTTAACTACAGTAGTCCTTGATTAAACAACTGCAGCTTAACGAGGTAAGGCTGTGTGGTAATAATGCGGTTAAATCACAGGTTTAGACACAGGCTGAGATCACAGTTAGAAGTGGTTTTGCACTGGACTGAATTATACTGAAAAATACAACAACACGCCAAACCATGCCAGTCAACTTTGACTCAAATCTGAAATTTAACAAACTGTGATTAAAGGTTGCTGCTATGTTCAGCTGAGGAATTCTGCCAAATTGTGTTCCATCCTTTGTCTGCATGACATGAAGACTGAGACCACTGCATTCATTTCATCA